CGACTAAATTTAAATGTTTAACAAGTAGAAGGTTATTAACAACTAATCAATTTACCCAAAGTAAAACTTGCATACCAGATTGCGAGTTCAAAGAGCAGAATATGTCGGGAAGCTGGTCATCTGTGTATTTATACCGTTCCAGTAACAACAAAAGAAATACTATTAATAATAATGATTTTACTGTGTATATTATGTAAGATCGGTAGCCATGGTTTGTTTGTTAGTTGAAATTAGGCTTTGAATTGGCTTTCAATAACTGCGAGTCTTCTCATAATGGTTCTTTGGGTCTTTTGTCATTCTTGTTAAGTTTTTTGTGTGTATGTGCTTCAATCCGATCTGATAAGTCTAGCCCCTTTTACAGTTTGTTTTTATAGTATTAATTAATGGGTGTTTTCATAATGGCCCTGTTATATGTCCAAGGTCTATTATAATGGTCGAGAATGCCTGTAATGGCACGAGGCAACGCCGAGGGACATTACACCCTCCGAGGCCATTATTACTGACCGAGGACAAATAACAAGGCCAATTTGAAAACACCCATTTCTTAACACTTTTATTAACCAAACCGTCAATGTGTAATATTTAACCAAGCCAAATCAGTATATAATTATACCAAATGCAATATTCAAAAGAAACTTTTAATGTGATGTGATGGAATGACATGTAAATGTAAATATAGTTTTATTGTTGTCCTATTCAAAGCAATTTATGGCATACAAAATACAAGATTTCGTTCTGGATTTTAAAACTCAAAATTAAACAAATTGATAGACATAATGTAATGTACGTATTGTGTAATTTTGAACTTGACAACTTGGGAACTTTCAATTTCTTGATGTTTCCTTCCCCCAGAAATGTATTTGAATTGATAACAACTAAAAATCCGTAATAGCCCTGATTTTTCATAATGGCCCTGTTTTTTCATATAGTGGCCCTGTATTTTTCATAATGGCCCTGTTTTTTCACAATTGCCCTGTTTATTCATAATGGCCCTGTATTAATGCCTCGTAAGTCTATAATGGACCAGTTTTGCTTTTATTAATAAAGTGGCATTTCCATACAAACTTGTTAATAAATTGTTGTACTGTTACATCACTATCGCAGATTATACATAGGTGGAGAACGATGATCAATCAAACACATGTTTAACCCCGCATAATTCTATAAATGCATTATCTCGGGACATTTAATTCAGTGGTTGTCGTTGGTTCCTGTCTGCCATAATTGTATTTCGTGTATTCGTGTTTATCATCATTTTTTTCTTTTGATTTTTTTTCATATTTAGTCATCCCTGGTCTTTTTATAGTCTCCTATACGGTCTGAGTTTTGTTCATTGTTGAACCTTTAATTATTTCACATCCTTGTCCTCTGATCTTTGATGCACTGTAGTCGTCTCATTGGCAGTTAAACCACATCTTCTTATTTAAAAAAATATAAATTTTATTAATTGAAGTCATTTCAATTTTAAACAGATACAGTTATATACATGTATATATGTTTCAACCTTCTGTGCTCTTACATCTATTTATAAACATCATTATGTCATCATACGCTAGAAGTACAATGCACAAACAAACAAAAAATAATTCTAAATATGCATCGTATATATTAATTTAAGAGACATTCTTAACCTATCGTTTTTTGGTTTAACACACCAATCTTTTGGTAAATCCACCGGCTATTGTGGCAGAAACACCCTTTTGTCATTGTTTGTGATCCCAATAAAATTATTTGTTATTTCAGATTATTTTTCTATATCTAGTGCGTTTTTTGCTCATATCAATAAATCTTTTAGAGGAAGTAGTTTACACGAGTCGCTTCCAATATAAGAGTGTGTTTGTTTGAACAAAACAATGTTCAGTAAAGAAATAAAAAGGCAGTTATAATGCAGAATTGTAATGGAAGATATCGACCTGAATATGTGTGAAATATTAATGACTGGACAATCATAAAAAAAAAAGAAAATAAATTAAGTAAATAATAGTTCGGTTCCCTGAAACATCAAGTTTCAATGAAAATAACACTGACCTGAATATTACTGTTTTTTATTACTGAAGACAGAATCTCATATTTTTATTTTGTACTGCGAGACACTCATGGGTAGTCAAGGTCGTTAAAACAATCCTTAGTAGGTGTACAAATGTTTTTTTCCCATAAAATTGTATAAATTGTGCAAAATCTAAACGAAAACATTTTTTTTTAATAAAGTCATCTAAAAGCTTCGTTACATCTCATATATATATTGATATAGAATCATTTATATTTCCTCCCTTACACTTAAAGAAAATAAAAACATTATTTTATTCTGTTATTTTCCACATTGCAATTTTGTACAAAATTTTGGGCATTGATCCTGTACAGCTATCGACTCTAGATTGAAGGATTGCATAATTTCAAATCGGCCGGTTTAACTCTTTGTGCATGCATACTTTCCAGTAACTGATTATTCTATATAGGTCGTTGTTTTGCTTGTGTTTTTGTTTTGTCTTGTTATCTATTGTCTATTATATATATATATATATATGTATATATATATAGAGTCTATAAGAATCTACCAACCAGTAAACTTAATAGGTATTGGATCATCAAAATTGACAATACTACACAAACAGGGAAAATTATACGAGTCTAAAAGATTGTGTAACAATACCGATAAATAGATGGAAAACAAAACACTAAAAAGTGTTGAATATCATCGCACAAAGATGGAAAAACTGAACAGATGATATAAATTATACAATAATTGCAAATATTTCGGCTAAACAAATGGCCTTCCTCAGTGTTAAAAGTTTTAACAATACTGATATATAATGTATAAGGTGTAAACATAGATCAATAATAATACAGGTAAAAACTTTTAACACTGAGGAAGGCCATTTGTAACTTCATCTTATAGACTTTTTTTAGCACCCCTAAAAACCATAACAAATGTAGGACAAATAGTTGAATAATGAAAACAAAAAACTTATCTCAACCGACCATATTTAGTATTTGATCAATACCTAAAACTCAATTAATGTTAATATATGTAAAAATAAGAAAATGTGGTATGACTGCCAATGAGACAACACTCCACCAGAGACCAAATGACTTAGAAGTAAACCATAGGTCACTTTACGACCTTTTACAATGCGCAAAACCCATACCGCATATAGTCAGCTATAAAAGGCCAACTTGGGACAGGCACATATAGAATGAGGCGTGGTTGAACATGTTTGCTGGCACCATACTCTCCCTCATACCTGGGACAGTGGTTTAACAGCACGGCATAAGAAAGAACTATAAAAACAGTTGAAAAAGGCTAAATTCATCAGATCGGTACAAAGCACCACATATAAACTCTAACACCAACACAAAAGACACACAGTACATATCTGAGTAGTATTTATATTGTTGATAACCATGAAGTTTTGAAAATAAACCAAATATCCAATATAAATAAGGATACGATAGAAAAGGAACCAGATGACATCATAGAAATGTCCTTTTTTGTGGGTGGGTATTTTCAAAAGGAACTGGTTTCAAAATATATGTTTTCAAAACCCCTTAAAATAGCATGTGTATGAATTGATATGAAACACATCCTAAAAAAATCTGCCTCAAAGAATCATCAATCTCTTATTGGTTAACCAAGTTAGAAAAGTTAAACTTGAAAAGAGTTCATGTACTTCAGTTCTATGGCTGGATTATATGACTTATCAATTGGAATCTACTTAACATTCTCACAGGACTCTCTTATAAATATATGCAAATTAATTTTGAATTATTGGCGATTTAAATGTGTTTCAACTTTATTATTGTTCTGTGATTAGGAATTTAAAATATCAACACAAAACGAGTATGTAATCCAGTAGTTGAAGGTTGCCGTCTGTCATAAATCAGTTTGTTTTCCGCTTAATGTTATAACCTTAAATAGTCTGTCAGTTTTTTCTTTTGAATTGTACATTTTAGATTTTGTTATCCTGTGACTTACTTTAGTTTACTATGCGGTATTGGTTTTGTTTATTGTTGAAGGCCGTTTCCTCGAAATTATTTGAAGCTATAACTTTTGTTCAATGCTCTTGGCTCGAAGGTGAGTCACATGCAAACTAAACTGCAGTAGTATTCCCTTTGTATTACGAACCGAAATTCACTGTCATTGGCTCAATATTCCTGCCCTAATTGAATGGAAAAAAAATGAAACACGGAAGTTCCTTTAGCTATCTTCATAAGTAAGGCATACGATGAGTTTTAAGAAAACAAACCAACATGCTTTAAACCTTTCCATTTAAGATCAACAGACACCAGTCATAAAAGGCGTTTCATTTTTACCAAAAAATAAATTAATATATCTAAAGCATGTGATATAACAGAGCGTTATTATGAATGCACTGTAACAACCAAGGCTGATGTCCGTGTACAGAAATACCTCACAGCTTTCACGGAAATACAAAAATCAGTTTGAGCAATAATTATGGACAGCTCATGTAAGTCTGTAAGAATTTTAGGAGAAAACAATGCTACTTAATAAAGTATGGATTGAAAATTTTCAATTCGTGATAACAATTTTAATTCGTGATTTCGAATTCAAATTTGTATTTTTGGGAGGTCCTAAATGGGCTTCCGTAATAAATTGTAGGCACGATTGTACAATAAATATTCGGTACATATCCAACCTCGTTGCTATGGTTCAAATTTATTGACTATCAATCCCTAAGAAGTTTATACTTTTAAGGACATTTTACTATCACACATTTAAAAAATCAAATGAGGCGGTATGATAATCGTCAACAATGTGCCCTCAAATTAAAAAAAAACAATAGTTAAATATGTTTTTATTGTGTTACTGCAAAAAAAAAAAAGTCAGTTACAAAATTCTCGATTTATAAAAATTTTACTTTTACATCAAACCATAATTAAACAACTTTGTATATTTTTAACTTTGCAGCAAAATTGCCCGAGAAAGAGAGCGCTGAAAAAGAGGTTCATTCCATTTGTGTTAATCACAATGAGCAGCGATGTAAAGAATTCCCGATTTTCCATTTTTTAAAACCAAAACCATAATTAAACAAGAAGAAGAAGAAGAATAATATATAATTTGAATTTTGCAGGAACAATGCCAACTGTAAGAGAGCGATCTTGCTCGGAAAAAGAGGTTCAAGCCATTAGGTTTAATTATAATGAGCAGCAATGTTTAGAAAAGAAAATAAACGGACTGAAACAAGAGGGAGCATGCTCGATTCATCTTATAAATCAAACTCACAAGAATATCAAAGTTAGCTATAAATCTTTGAAGGACAAAGTTTCAAAAATAAAATCTCATTTGAATGTTAAAGAAATTGAAGAGTTTAGAAGATTGGAAAACAACGGGAAAATTGAAATATTTAAATCAATTTCAAAACCAGATTCAGCAAGTCGAATTTCGACATACGCTAAAAGATTACAAATTGAATATGATGAAAATCAATCGGCTTCTGCAGCGAAACATAGCGATGATTTAATCCACAACAACCCTTTTAGTGACGATGATATGACACGAAAGGATCTTCTATTAAGACAAATAAGCGATCTCAATGATCGTTTTAACGCTGTACGGGAGAAAGAAAGAGCTTTGGAAAATGGACTTGTTCCTAATAACACAACGATAATTTCTGTCAAAACTAATAAGAAAAGAAACAAAAGTAACAGTGATAACGAAACCGACCAGAGTGACATACAACAAAGGACAAATGTAAGTCAATCCGAAACCTCTTCAAAATATAAGGGTTGCAGAAAGGAATCAATGCTAAGACCAAGTACGGCATTTGACTTTTCTAGCAATAAACCTGTACATGACATAATACGACCAGCAACAAGTTTGGGCAATTGTAAATCTGAGGTATTTGAAAACAAGAAAAATAAATCGTCGGCCATCATTAAACGATCAAAGAGTGTAAAAGTAGCTCCTTCGAAAGAATCAGCATATACTCAAGAATTTAAAACTGTTAAGGAAATCAAAGGTGTCAAATCCAAATCTGTTAGAAGAACAAAAAGTTTGAAAAAAGCTACATCTCTTGATAGTTCAAAGGAGAAGGATATTGTTACGGAACTTGACATGCCACACTTGGCAGATAAGAGTTTCAGCTCTGAACCTACCTTTAAAACCGAAAAGAACCCAATTGAGAATGTTATCTCTGAAGGTGCTGTAGAGAAGCATGTATTAACCAACGTGGACGAATATTCCAATATAATGCCGGAAGAACAAACAAATATCAAAACTTCAAAAGGAAAAGGACAAACTAGAATATCCAGTAGTTTTAAGCATGGTAATTCAGCCACAGAGCATCACGTTTCCATCTATAATAACCCAGACAGTCAGGGTAGCAATAAAGCAAAACTAAAAAGGCACCACACTGTAAAAGTAAGGCCAACAACAGCTGTAAGCACGGGCTCTGATAACAATTCCGTACAAAACATGATTTTTAAGAAAGGTTCAAAGGTCAGACCGTCAACTGCCGTAAGCAATTGCACAGAAAACAGTACACCTAGAAGTGCAGCATTGTCTGCACTATCTGGTAGAAGTGAAGCTGTGGCAAACATAATAGCGTGCATGAATGGTCCGCAACATGCTCCATTTGATTGTCATGCCGCTGCAGAAAGAGTGGAAAAAGAAATCAATACAAAAACAATACTGGAAGAGGGCAGGACCAAATTTTTATCACGTGATTCTGTTGAAAGCAATCTCGGACATGATTTACACCAAGAGCTGAGAAAAGAACTTATTCAAGAGGAAGAAAAAGAAGCAATTAAAATTGAGGATAAAATATGCAGTTTTATGGACAGATTAAACGATAAGTTGAAGTCAGAAAATAAAAGTAAAGAAGCGTGGTCAGTTCAGACACCAATGTTAACCGTTAACGATTCGTTGAAACGCCAACCGGATGCTCCTCAAATCAAACGTGTAAATATGAGAAGACAAAATAAGTTTTCTGAAGAGGAACAAAGAAAAATGGAACAGAATATGTACAGAAGGTCATCTTCAGCATGGAAAGACGTAAACAAGTGTAGATATCTAAGGATCGAAGAGAGTAAAATAGATTTATCTGGGATAAAAACGTTAGCGGCAGATCAGTTTTCATTGCTTAACAATCTAAAATATGCCGGTTATGAGGCGGTTGTTTAATTTGTAACATGACAGTGGCTTTAGTAGTGCTATGAATTATTGGGGTGCATAATATTTATGGCATATTATATATCATTTTTGCTGAAACTAAATCTAGATAATTCGAATTGAATTTTGTTAAGCTGACAACATAAATACATGAATGCAACTTGCTGGTTTTTCTTCTTCTTCAGAAAGCCATTTGAGAAGCGTTTGTTTATGAAATAGCACAAATAATGAAATGCTTATACTGACGTCACAGAGACGTTTGAATTGTTCATTTTCATTTTCATCATCATTTGATATTTATTATTTATTGAATCAATCGTTTTTCGTCACTTACATGGTCTAACATATAATACACATATGATTGTTCCGTTTTGATATGGTTCTAACACTGTTATTTCTAAATCCCGTCTAATAGCTTTGGTTTGACCATCTTCTACCTCGTTTTACCGCCTGATGCAATCATGGTGTTCATTTATCTAGAATTTGAAACAAGTAATGGATGGTAAAATGTGTGTTGAATAAACAAGGAGTTATCGCTTTTTTTAATCATATTTGAATAACTGATAACTGGTCTTTTTAACTTTAAAAGATACTTACACACAGCTATAAATTGATTTTAAAACAGTACAAAATGTATGTGCTTAAATTGTACTTTTATTTGAGAGTTCGTTCAGTTAGAAAATGAATAAAGATTCATTCTTCTGTATTAAGTATTACATGTATCAAAAAAATAATACATTTTTCTTGAGCAGAAGAGAATTGGTAAAATTAGTTTATATAACATTAGAGTGTAGTTGAAATAAGTATGATAGCTATTTCCGTGCTAAAGACATTTGTTTCTGGAATAATGTTGATCAAATATGCTAGTGGTAATTTTTTAAGCTTAATAAAAGCAAAAATTAAAAAATACATATAAAACAGCATCAAAGACAATAGTCAATATATTATAAAAAATCAATACGGAACAGCCGAAACTGTCTGAGATCAGCTGCAGTCTTATTTTCATACAAATACATCGTTTATGAACTGAAATGTGCAGACAAATCAATCATTCAAATCACACTGAATACTCTAGTCAGTAGGAAATCTAGTGACAAAATATTACCTCCCGTGTAAACACTGAAAACTAAATCTTCTCAATGTTTGTCTTATTTAGCAAGGACACTATCAATTATGGATTCACGGAAAACGTTCTGGTAAATAGTAAAAATAGAAATAAGTTGAAATAAAAACAAAACTTCCATTCAACTGTAGCAAACGACAAGTTCAGCAGGCTTAAGAAGTTTGCTGTAAAATTGGTTTAAAATGTTGCTATTCGAATAAATTCCTGGAGTACCAACTTCTATTTATTTTTCTATTGGCTGTATACCTCTCTGGAACATGCTAAGTATCCGTATATATTTATATATATACAGCTAGATCAGAGAAAATCAGGGGGAAAATCCAAAGGAATCGACCGATATGCAGCAAAGATTGGCACTTTTGAAATTAAGTTACCAAGCAAATTCAAACGGACCTTATCTCATGTAACCATTGAATGTGAATAGATCGAGAAGACCGCAAATGCATGTACAAAAATCGAGACGACCTTTTCTTAAAATTTTTATAAAAAATAGAAGAAAGGTACCTCCTTTATAAAAATAGTTATCTTTAATTTCTTAACCTGCACAGACAGACTTTTAAATTTTTATATTCAAGGAAAGACAATATTTCTCTATTGAACGTACATGTGACAAGAGCAGACCGATGTGCTCGATAACTTAGTTGGGAAAAAATAAGTATACTTTGGGAACTTGTAACATGCTAAGGACTTTGTGGAACACTCCGAAAATTGGTGACCCGAAAGATCTTTTAGATTTTGTATGTATAGGATTTTTTTCATTTTTTTTTTATCAATATGCAGCAAAGATTGGCATTTTTTAAATTTCAGTTTCACAAGCTTCTGATGCAATTATGTCGACAAATACTGGACATAAAACATCGTGTATTTACATGTATATTTCTGATAACACAGTTTAACAAATAATTTCTTTAAAATGCAAAATTATTATTTAGAAATAACTTTTGATCAGTATCGTCACCGTGCCTCTTTAGCATTACCTTCCGCGATAAAACCAACTTAACATTTTTTAAAGCGCAGTCCCATTCGGCGTTAAGAAACTGTATGTGAAAATAATTGATGTTCATTTCAGCCCGCTTATCATATTTTTGGAAAATGTTCATAAATGCTATATGATAAGAAAGTAATTTTATTTTCAAATGCTTTAATCGCTTCCGGCTTTCTTTTCAACGTTTTACCATGTTGTTATTCCAATTCAGGAAAAATAGCTCGAACGACACATTTTCGATACACAAGATAGTAAAAATGTACAAAATTAACAGTGCTTAGAACGCAGCTACTTCTTGTATCTTTACGACTTTGAATTACAAGAAATTGTTGAATTTATGGTTTAAATTGTTTCAAATACATGTATTAGTTTTTCTTTATATTTTGAAATGTAAAGTAAACGATAAAAGATCATACAAAGTTGACATTTTTTTACATAGCAAAATTCCTGATTATAGTATATAAATATAAGTTAGTACACAGGTGTCATTCGGTATATCGAGAAAAATGATCGTGAAAGAATACCTAATGGTGGTCAAGTATTGCGATTGCATCGTGAAAGCTCTGGTATAGGATCGTGAATGAAATCTTATCGAGAAGACATTTGCAAGGTCAAATACTAATCTAATTTAATGAATTATACGGAAAATTTACAAAAAAATAAAACTGCCTGTCAAAATGGTTCAACATTATGATCAGTATCTGAGAAAAATCAAGGTTTAAAAGTACACCGTTTTTACAAAACTACAAAAGGCAGATTGCTCCTCGACATTTCAATGACAATAAATTTGTAAACAAACAAGATTTTTTTCATAATTCGAATGACTAAACAACTTTTCTTTGTGAAATGTCATTCCATTTAAATGATTCAAATGGTTCTTAAAGTTAATTTGTGTTAGAATAATCAGAAATTTTGCAAAAATTGAAATATTTTCTAAAAATATGATTTAATCATACGATAATTTAAAGTTTTAATTGGTATAGCAAATACTGAATTTGCCATACTCATTCCAGTTCTCTTTTGTTGGTGAATATGGCTATAATCGTTCAATGCCATTGGATCTGATTATCTTAATATGTAAAATACCACACCGACTAGGAAACTTATAGCAATAACACTTTATTTGTCCGTTTTTCTTTAGTTTTGATTTCTTAAACAAATTTAAGATTGAGAAAAGAACTTAATCGGCTAAATTACAGTTTAAGCTGGGCATTAGGCACAGTCGAGGTACGTTGATTGGTAATTTTCCCACTAAGTTGAATACAACGACATATAGCTATTGTGAACAGGCTGATCAAACAAGTAGAAATAAAGTTATCTTGGTACCTTTTAAGTTCATGTCAGCGCAGCCAAGAAATAAGCAACAGATGAGCTAATATTGTCATACTATATACGCACGAACGACACTCCATATATCTGAAAGTAACAACCCTTACATGCACAAAAAAAAATGCGTACCGTGACATGCATATATTTCCGCGGCGGATGCATTAAGCATTATATATATGGAACCATATTTACTTTTACTTTACGATAATTTACGCTCCTGAAGGTACTTTTATCTAGTAAATTTACCTTTTTAGGCACGTTTTTAGTTTTTTAATAACTTTTAAGAAAAAATGTTGAAATAAAAAAAAGTGAGGAAAAAAAATGAAAGCATTAATGTTATCAAAATAATTACACACTTCAACTAGTTGCAAGAATACTAGTCAACAAAAGTAACGATACAGAACTTCAATTTATCATAAACTAGGAAAAATTGTTAAATTATCCAATAAAAAATATTCCTTTACAAAGCAATTTCATATGATTGAAAGAATCTGACCAAATTGGAAAGTGAGAAAATACCGTGTCATTGAACACAGGGGTCATATTTATTTTGAGGAAAATGATGACAAAAGTTGGCACTTAATTTCTAAGATGAGAATTAAGTATTCAAATATCTGCAAAGGCATTCAAAATCTTAAGCATACCATGTTTAAGTTTAAAGTTTTAAGTTCTAATATCGATTTTTGAAATTTTGGGTGAAAATACGATTTTTGAAATAACAAAAATTGCAAAAAAAAAAAAATCGCGTATTTGCCTTAAATCAATGGTTTTGATAAAAAAAAAACACTCTGTAAATATTAGACGAATTGGGCAATTATTTCCCTTGGTACAGTGTATCCAATTTCATTATATATGGAAAATACATTACCTTGTATCGTTTCTTTTTTTGACTGGTATATATCAATTGGTAAAATAAATATTGTTTTCTAATTATTAAGTCTGGTCCGGCGCGAGACATTTGAGTGGTTTAAAAATAAAATTTCGGTTTTCACAAATTGAAACAAGCTTGGATCAACTATGATGGTGCAGTTCCTCGGACTATTCATGCACCTAAATGGACACAAGAGGAATATAGTTTTCAATTTTGAATTCACTAATAAAAAAAAAAACTGAATTCGGTCAAAATTTAAATGTTCCATCCATAAAAGGTTCGTTTTCTCAATCGTTTACCTAGAAACGTAACTATACTATATTTTTTATAATACGTCTAGAGTACCCGAATAATTTTTTTCTGATTTTGTCGTTAATTCGGAAGAACTTTCAAAACAAATATGTACATCTTTCCATGCTATGGTAAATTTTCAAAGATTACAGGTAAAAAGCGAAAATGTCTTGTCAATTTTGTACAGGTATATCAAAGTTTAAAGCGCAAATGTCCATAGTGTTTGAAGCGCATAAGTCCTTTAGTGTTACAGGTAAAAAAGCGCAAACGTCCTGCGCCCGTCTGGTCACACCTTGTCTTTCACGATCAAGATAATGCGTTGCCCGATCTTGTTCGATCAATTTTGATGAAAAATCAACAAAATTCAATGTTTTCAAAACAAAAATGAACGGTTTCAATGAAGAAAAAACTTGTATTCTACTGTGCTATCTGACACGCCAAAGATTCACTTTCAAATATATCATTATATATTGGAATGTGACCATTGTAGGTACAAAACGTGTTTTTTTTAATGAATCCTATAGACTTGTGTTGCGCCTTTTGTGTTTTCTCATAAAGTCCTGCA